GATCAAACAGTGGGTCTTAAAAAAGGCTATGCTTTAAAGAATTTAATTTGGAACATTTTAATATTATTAATAATTAATTGATTAATTCAATAATTATATTATTTAAGCTTTAGCTTTTAAAGATGTAAAAAGGCTGTCTGGATGGGAATTAATGAACAAATGAACCCCCATACCAACAGGGAGGCAGGCTTTGAACTGTGGGCTGATAACAGGCTAGATGGTCCATCTCCGTTTAGAAAATGTATCGTGTCTCAGTTTTTCTTTTGCGAATCATCTTTCTGAGAGATTCAGCTTCTCTAAAACTGTATTTTTTATTTTGTTGCAAATTAACCTGATTAGTTACAAAATTCTTCAATCGTCCCTACTTATTTGAAATACGCTGCCCTAAATATCAAAATTGACTTTTTTATCAAAGAGAAAGCTCTGCATTTTTATTATTTATGAAAACACAAAAACGTTAAATTTGGTCTATTAACTACATCATGATGTGTTTAAGGAACAAAGTAGTTTGTTGGCAGAAAAAAACTGAACAGTTTCTAATGTTTTCAATGAAGAAACACATTTGTTCAACAAAAAGATGGAAATTACACTTTAATCGTGTTGTTTTTTTTTAATCCTTTTTGACAAATAGACAACTGATTACCATACGTGTGCATAAGACRTCAAAATTGAGTCATTTTGGATGAAATCAGCAGGACAAATAGTTCTTTTCGTTCTGCTCAGATCTGGACAGAACCTTTGTAATGAAGCTGTCTGGTTCTGAAAACACTGCAGGTTCTTTTAAACCCAGTTTGATCCACAACATGTGGCTCGACCCCTAATCAGCTTCCTGACATCCATCAGAGCAGAGCAGAGCCAACAAATCTGTTCTAAAGTGAGTGTGTGATCAGTGGTTGTGATTGGCTGCCTCCTCTGTCTGTGTGTGTGTCTGTGTGCAGTCATGTATGATGGTGACGTGTTCCAGATTAATAGGCCTGTTTATAATCAGTACTAAACTATAAATTTCTTCAATTAGATCCATGAGGTCTTTTTTTGTGGCTCGTGGCCCACTTGTGTTCCTGCTCCTGCACGAGTCATCCTCGGTTTCTCACTGCCACCTGGTGGTCTCATTCTTTGCAGAATTTCTCAGGTGACATCTTTACCTTGCAACACCTGTCAGCCTGTAACAAATAAAAGGAAAACATGTTTGTGACAGGCAGATATTATATCATTTAGAAGAGTTTTGTTGCTGAATTAAATTTATTAAATAAAAATTAAAAAAAAATCCATCAGCCCACCGGGGAGGGTGGAGTAAACAAATGGCACCAATTAAAGGCGCATTTAGGCTCATGATTGTGTCGCGTTCTCTCATCTCTCCACCCCTTCTTCCCCCCCACCTCTACCACCACCAGACAAGAACAAAACCACATCTCCTCCCTCCTCCCAGCTTCAAACTTCATGGGCAGCATTACAAACGCAGCTGGAGGACACCATTAACCTATACAAAAAAAAAAAGAAGAAGAAAAAGTCGCACTTCGGGGCCGCAAGCGGCGCCATTTGGTGCCAAACGCGCAGCCAGCAGCCTGCAGACAGCGCTGCTGCTGCTGCTGCTGCTGCTGCTGCTGCACCCGGAGCTGCTGCTGGAGACAGACACACACACCGTGACTCACTGATGCACACTCACACACACAGAGAGAAAAGATTTTAAACCAGGAGGCTTGATTTACCTGTCAGCACATCACTTCTYCAGCAACAAGGTGACCTTGAGTTGGATTTAAAGGAGAATTCAGCTGTTTTTTGGGGGCTCATTTTCCCACCTCCTCTTATTCTCGGCGTATCCTACAGGATTTAACTTGCTCATAAATTCACTTTGTCCTTTTTTATTTATTTATTTGTTGTGGACAGCTTCACTTGGATAACTCTTCATCGTGGTGAGTGGCTTCATGGATTTATGGCGCTTAGCACAGAAAAGTAAAAATAAACTTATTGTTATTGGAGGATGCTCTAACAGGTGTTTTTTTATAGCTGCTCCCTGAAAAGATATTTTAGCTATAAATGTCAGGTATAAGCCTCGTTGGGTATTTTGTGCAGCTGAGACACGGCGATTAGCCCAGAATTCACCTTGTCAATCAGCTGTGAAATCCCTGATTTAGGCCATCTGTATTATTTTAAAGGGGGTAATATTATAAATTAATAAAATCGTTTGCTTTGCAGGCATTTATTTGAATTATATTTTTGCCTTCTTATGACTACAGTTTGAATGTTTTTATATTTGTAAAGCTTTTGCTTAAAAATACAACAAAATATATGTTTTTATGGCTGTTCGTCATCATCATCTCTGAGCATCCAATAAAAAGCTAAAATGATGGAGGAGATAAAATGGTTCAACTCCAAGTGTTTTGTCGTTCAGATTTTATGCATCTTGTAAATCTGGACATTAACTTGCAGGGCAGACTGTGTCCTTGTCTTCTACAGGTCTGTGTCTCCAAGTTGAGCATTTTTTATTTATTTATTTGTGTGTGTCTGTAAAAGCCTCTTTTTCCTCTCCTTGTGAGAGTTTGGAGCAGTAAAACAAAACAAAAGA